AGCTCCGCAGTTTTCGCGTGGTTGGTCTGGTCGTTCAGCTTGCTCGACGTGAGAAATAAGCTTGGCTTTGATGGCTCTACGATTTATTGATCCACTTCAAGCAACGAACGCCCCCTCCCCCCTCCACCGTCCGATCCATTTTGGATCTCACGCCGGAGAGTTTTGGGGTGTCTTAGCTCTAAGTCCTCCACCGCCCAATGGGGGACTTTAGTATTTCTTTTAATGCCGTACCAATAGGCATTAAACCTTAGGTAAGCTTTAATCGATAAAGGTACACCATTAGACTAATCAGCGCTGACTAGTCTAATGCTGACTAGTCTAATGATGTAACCTAAGCGAATAAAGGATACCCGCACGAGTTCAAATACCGGCCGGATCACTTACCCTTGCAAAAAAGTGCACCTAGAACTATCAGCGTCCGGCGAGGGGTCCGTCCCCGGAGATCCCTTCTCTCAAAAAACCATAAAACCCAAGTGATCCGGCCGGGTGCTAATGAGCTAAGAGTAATGCTACGGTAGGGGGGTCACATTATGGGGCATGTGTGACCGACACCACAGGACTGCGCTATATTTGACCAGCCAGAGTACACCAATTCTGTAGGCACACTTACTTGTGTTCCCGTGTCAGTCACTGATTGACTGTAATAACAATAAGTATTGGAGAGCGTCACACAGCACGGGCCCAATAGCTAATTGATTACACTCCACCGGTCACGAGGGGTATCCCCCCTACCGTAGCATAGCTCCTAAGCGTATATAGTCGTGCATGCGTAGTCGTACGACCATTGATCTCGCATCCCTACAAAGCCGGGACGGAGCACGCCGGGTTCTCACCGGACCAGGCTCTCACATCACCAAGCGCGAAGCGCCGTGAGATATTCGGCGAGTCGCATGAAGGGTGCGCTGCATCCTGCTAAGGGTTTTCGGCATCTTGTGCTTACTTTGCGTACGGATGACAGCTGCGTATGACTATATTTACTTTCTGGTGCTTTAACTTCCAGAGACAGTTGTAACCACTGTGGAACTGCCTCGAGGGTGCTTGACCATTTTGGCACAACGTGGTGCGACCATCCCCCTTGCGCGGAGTGAGGGTTCTCCACCCCGCACAACATGATCTATTCGACCACCATTATGGTTACCGCCAAAATAAAAGAAACAGAGGAAAAAAAAAACCCCGGTAACCTG